CCCCTCCCCCGGGGCGCCAGCTGCCCCTGGCCCCCCGGCACCCCCTCCTGCCCCACCATCAGGGACCAGTTCACGGGGCAGGAGATGAACGTCATCCAGTTCCTCATGCACATGGGCTTCGACGTGCAGAAGATGGCGCAGCAGCAGGGCCTGGAGCCCAGCAAGCTCCTGGGGATGCTCAGCAGCGGGAACTAGGAGGGGTCCGGAGGGGTTCGGAGGGGACGAGCCCCGCTCCCGCACGTCCCGCGGGCAGACGCACGCTTACACCCACACACGCTCAGCCCTGCACGTGCCCACGTGCTCCCACGCTCCTCACACCCGGGGCGAGCCAAGGAAGAGGAAAACGAAGCGGTTTCTCGCACCATTGGACTGGAGGTCGTCACCGCCGCACCCCGGGGCTGGACACGGGGAGCAGCAAAGCCGTGGACCGCACCAGCGAGAGCCTTCCCCAGGCCCAGGGCTGCCTCCCTTGCCGCGGATTTGACATCACAGACCTGGTGTGTGTGGTGAAAAGAGCAATAACTGGATTTTCTTGTCCATCAGAAGTGAAGGGTTGATTGCGTCACTTCCTGGGAGTGATTGCGTCACTTCCTGGGAGTGATTACGTCGCTTCATGGGAGTGATTGCGTCACTTCCTGGAGGTCGGTGTCTGGTGGCCATTGGTAACCCGCGGAGCCAGGACGCGTGCGAGGGACGGACGCTCTTGTACTCAACTTACTCCCGTATTGTTCTATAAAGTGACTTTTTTATTACTGTTTTTTAAACTAAGCAAGAAATATAAATGATATTGTTTTGTAACATATTTTTTTTAAATAACGAAGAAACCTCTTGCTACTTTGGCAACGTGGACATATTTATTTTAATATGTAAAACGCTATTTATAAGGGCTGACCAGAGAACCGTACATATCTTTGTAAAGTTGTATATGCTGCTCGTTGGGATGGGTTGTGCCCGGGCGAGGGCCGAGGGTGATACTGACTGTTGTAATAAGTCGATTTCTGTGTGCCCGGCAGCGCGCTGTGTCGTCGTTTCTCTGACGAAGAGGTGGAGATGCGAGGTACAAGTACAGAGATTTTCTCCTGGTTCTGGTGTTTGCAGACGTGCGCAGCGTTTTCATGACCGGACGGGCGTTGTCTGGGGATGCGGGGAGGGCTTTGGGTCTGGTTCTGCAGCAGAGGCCTCTGTTCCTGTGAGAGGTGTTGGGTGAGACCCAGAGCGTCCCAAACCGGGGAGCTTTTGGGACGTCAACAGCAGCGCACAAGCCGAGCACCAGCGTTTCTGCTGCTCCAGGCTCTGCGAGCCCACCCGCGATGGCGATGGGGAAGGGAGGGACCTGGCGCTGCAGAGCACGGGGGACCCCAGAGCTGCTGCGGGGGTGGCGCTGGGGTGGCTGTGGAGCAGCTTTGTGCTGGCGCGGGTGATGCACGGGGAGCGCCCACGCCTCCTCCTGCTCGGGCTCCCGATGCCAGCGTGGCGTCTGCCTGCACTGGTGCGAGCGTCGCTCCTGCACAGGGCTGGCTTTAGGAAAGTGCCACACGAGGCCTTGCCAGCTTTAAATGGTCGTGCTGCTCACAAGATCCCTTGTATTGGGTGAGCAAAGCCAGAAATTACCCAAACTGCGGCCATTCAGCAAGCAGTCGGGCAGTACCACATAGGAAATTGTCCGTCCTGCTGTGCCAGGTGGGTTTGGTGCACATTTGAGATAAAAAAGAAGATAAACTGAAAATGAGCGGTGCTCCCAGCAGGACTGAAACACAGGACAGTGCTCGGTGGATTTCCCTGGGATTGCTGATGTCCTTTCTGTTCTAATGACTCAGGTTTCAAACTGTCCTGGTCGCGTTTTTCACGCCTCTGAGCTGAGGGGCTGCAGTGCAGAGCATCTGGAGAAGAGCACGGGAATTGGGGATTCCTCGGGGAGCCGGAGCCGATCGAAGCCCTGGTGATCCAGCAGCGTCCAGCATTTCAGGAGCACCCAGGGACGCTGTGTGTGTTGATGGCAGCATCACTGCAGGGTGACTGTGGACACAGCGAGTGTGGGATCGCAGCATCACTGCAGGGTGATGGCATGGACACAGCGAGGCCGCATCCTCCGGCGGTTTGTACGTGGGAACAGGAGAGCAGAGATGTCGCTGCTGAAGTCTGTCAGGCTCTTTGAGAGCTGGTTACCTCTGTACCCAAAACATTAATTCAGATTTCCGACAGGCAAAGGATGTTCGGAGCGGATACTTCCCTTGCAAGCACAGGATGAAATCCTTTGGAGCCATGGATTGCTCCTTTAGCGCGCCTCTGCAACAGCCTTTGAAAAAACGCAGCAGGGAGAAGTCTTGGAAATAGTTCTAATTTATGAGAAAAATTATACGATGTGGTTGCAAGTCATAGCTGGAAGCTGGAATCTGTAACCCAGGAAGTCATTTCCAGCTCCTTGTGCAATAAATACCATTTTTCCAAGCCTTTGTAGAGCTGGCACGTCGGCGCTCGTCCCCAGTGACATCTGCGGGGAAGCTGGTGGCAAAAGGGGCAAGGCTGGAGGAATTCGGCACCATGTGTTTGTACTCGGGTCTCATGACTGGGTGAGATCTTTCCATCTGAGAGGGAAAAACCGCCTCCAAAAGCATCACACGATAGAGCCAGAATTAAAGGGACGGAGGAAACGAGAAGTGCGATTTCGGCTGCATTTGGGCGCAGCAGAGCATCGCTGGGGGAGCTGGGACCCCACGGCACAGCAGAGAGCAGCGGTGGCTTTGCCCCTCACAGCCCCCGTTTGACCAGGGGTGTCAGGAAACCCCCTCCAAGGGGAAGGAAACGGCCTGGGGCGGGGAAGGGGAGGGAAAGGCACAGCCTGGGGCGGGAGGTGTCCACCTGCAGCCCCTGCTCCATTTCCTGGCCGTTGTGATGTTAATTGGGCAGCTCCTGCCCCAAAGGAGTGCCTGTTTTCTACATTTAGCACCGGAGGTCTTTTTAAGGAAAATGGGAGGGATTTTCATGCATGAGACAGTGAGGTTACAAGGCAGTGACAAAGCTGGAGGGAGGCGCATTTTTAGCTTAACAGCCACAAAATCGGTGCTGTTCTCATGCGAATCGTCAGGTGAAGTTCTCCCTGCTGCGGGTGAGCTGCTGGGGGACAGCACCACGGAGCTCCCTCCATACAACGCGTCCACTTTCCTCTTGTTGTAACCCACGGCGGGATCACGAGTGACCCAGCAGCTCCTGCCCAGCCCCGTCCTGGCTGCTGCTGTGCGCACAACCGCGCTCCTCTGCGGCGTCAGCCAGGCCCGCGATGGCTCCCGGGTAAAAATAATCCTGGCCTCTTTTCTATGTCGGGATTCGTGTCGCGGTGCAGCTCGCAGAGCAGTTGTGCAGCAAGAGGTGAGAGTGAGGGGTGGGGGGACGAGCAGCCGGGAGCTGGACGTGCTGCAAGCCCCTGGAGCACTTTTTATCTGAGCAGAGGCAGTCGCAGCCGGGGTGGGAGTCCTGCCCTACAGCTGTGGGGGTGCTGGTGAACCTGTGCACAGCAAATTGCTGGGTTCGGGTGTTCTCCAGGGCCTTGGGAGCCTTGGGCTGCCCGAGCTCCCTGAACCGTCCCGTCTGAGTCCACAGCCGCAGCAGAAGGAAGGGCCATGGGAGAAGGGGGACCCCGTCCCTCACCCCCAGCCCAGGACCCCCAGCACCGCGCGCTGTGGTCACTGACTGGCACAGGCGCTCCCTTTCGCCAGCTCTTCTGTACATGACCCAGCGCTGCAGTGGCGATGGTGGGTGTCACATCATTGCATGAACATATGGATGAGGAACAGTGACATTAGGCAATGATCATTGTCACCAAGCGTAAGGGCCAATTCCAGTCCCCAGGTAGGCAGTTATGGACGTTACCAGTGCAGCCCATGATGACCTCGAACCACTCGAGTCTAAGGCTCTGGGCTGGGCCCTGGTCAGGCTCCAGGGATGTCCTGCTCCCACTCCGGGACCAGCGCAGCAAGAGCTGGTCCACAGGCGAGGAGCCAGCAATGTTGCCATGAGGGGAGTGAGGAACCCGTATTTCATGCTGTGTTTTTAATTTCTCCCATTCTGAGACTACATCAGACATTTTATTTGGGACTTTTAAAATAAGAACTAAGGGACTTTTGGGTAGAGACCAAGTCTGGGGAAATGCACACCAAAAGCAGGTACCGAGGAAAGCTTTGATCCAACAGGAGGGAGGGTTTGACGCTGTACATGGAGATCTGTGCTCCAACACAGAGGTAAAAATATCAAAGGGAATTTTTTACAATTGTATTTGGTTGTGGCATTCAGAGATACCAGAATAACTGGTTCCCCTATAAATAAAGCAGAG